AGAAAATTGGAATAGAAGGTCTTTATTTCAACCTGATTAAGGCTATTTATGAAAAACCAACAGCCAACATCATACTAAATGGTCAAAAACTGAAAATGTTCACGCTAGAATCAGGAACAAGACAAGGATGCCCACTATCACCACTCCTGTCCAATATAGTTCTGGAAACATTAGCCACAGCAATTAGAAAAGAGAAAGAAATAAAAGGCATAAAGATAGGAAAGGAAGAAGTGAAACTGTCATTATTTGCTGACGATATGATACTTTACATAGAAGACCCAAAACACTTGGACAAAAGACTTCTAGACCTAATTGGCACATTCAGTAGAGTAGCTGGATACAAGGTCAACACTCAAAAAACAATAGCCTTCTTGTACACAAATAATAGACTCACTGAGAGAGAAATTAGGGAAACAATTCCTTTTACAGTAGCATCCAAAAAAATGAAATATCTAGAAATCAATCTAACAAAGGAAGCAAAAGACCTCTACACTGAAAATTACAGCACTCTGAAAAAGGAGATCAAGGAGGATATAAGAAAGTGGAAAGGCATCCCTTGTTCCTCAGTAGGAAAAACCAAATAGTGAAAATGGCCATACTTCCAAAACTACTATATAGATTTAATGCAATGCTGATTGAAATTCCAACAATATACTTCACAGAACTAGAGAAAACAATCCAAAAATTCATTTAGAACCAGAAGAGACCTAGAATAGCAAAAGCAATTCTAGGCAAGAGAGACATGACTGGCGGTATCACAATCCCCAACTTGAAACTATACTACAAAGCTACTGTGATTAAAAAAAAAACAGCATGGTACTGGCAAAGAAACAGACCCGAGGGTCATTGGAATAGATTAGAAGATGCAGAAAAAACTTCAGACATACTCAGCCACCTCATCTTTGACACAAGAGCCAACCACCCTCATTGGAGGAAAGATAGCCTATTTAATAAATGGTGTTGGAATAACTGGATTTCAACCTGCCAAAGATTAAAACTAGACCCATACCTATCACCATGCAGTAAACTAAGATCAAAGTGGATTAAAGATCTAAATATTAAGACAGATGAGCTGGGGATTTCGCTCATTGGTTCCACTGCCTGCCTCGCAAGCGGAAGGACCAGAGTTCGATTCCCGGTACCAAGAAAAACCCCCCAAAACAATAAATATTAAGACAGAAACATTAAACTTGCTGGAAGATAAGTTAGGTAGAACTCTTCAAGACATTGGCATAGGAAAAGACTTTATGAACAAATCCTCAGTAGCACGGTAACTAGCACAAAGAATCAACAACTGGGATCTCATGTTATTAAACAGCTTCTGCACTGCAAGAGAAACCACCAACAGAGCTAAGAGACAACCTACAACGTGGGAAAAAATTTTTAGCTGCTGTTCCTCAGACAAAGGTCTACTATCTAGAATATATAAAGAACTTTAAAAAATCAGACCCCCCAAATTCAAAAACCCAATTCAAAAATGGGCATCTGAAATGAACAGACATTTCTCAGACAAAGAAGTAAAAGCAGCAAATAAATATATGAAAAAATGTTCAACATCACTCATCATTCGAGAGATGTGGATGAAAACAACACTGAGATTCCACCTCACCCCAGAAAGAATGGCTGCTATCAAGAAATCAACCAATAACAAATGTCGGCAGGGGTGTGGTGAGAAAGGAACCCTTCTCCATTGTTGGTGGGAGTGCAGACTGGTGCAACCACTGTGGAAATCAGTATGGAGATACCTCAAAGAACTAGGGCTAGAGCTCCCATTTGACCCAGCTATTCCCCTGCTGGGTATCTTCCCAAAAGAATTAAAAGAGTCAAACCACAGTTGGGCTGGGGATTTAGCTCAGTGGTTCTGCTGCCTGCCTCACAAGCAGAAGGACCCGAGTTCGATCTCTGGTACCAAAATAAATAAATAAAATTTGACCAAAAAAAAAAAAAAAGGCAAAGGGCAGGGCTGGGGGTTTAGCTCAGTGGCACTGCGTCTGCCTTGCAAGCGAAAGGTCTTGAATTTGATCCCTAGTACCGCAAAAAGAGAAGCAAAGTGTCTTATTGGTGGACCCTTCTGGGAGGTTACCAAGCCTATTAGCTGTTGTTCTCAGGTTTCCTTTTTCTGAGGGCTAAATTCCAATATTGATGGCCTCTGGGGGTCTTGTTGTGGGTGCCTGCTCGGGTCCTCTACCCTGGGAGGCCACCTGCCCCGGGTACTCCCTCCTGCAGAGGAACCTGTCCCTCTGACCACGCTGTGCTGACAGAGGACGCTAGGAGGCGTACCCACAGAGCACTGGTGAGGAAAGAGGTGAAAATGGACCCTCCTCCATCCTGTTCACAAACCTGGGCCTGGATGTGGCTTCAATGCCAAAGCAATTTTGAGGCAAATTGAGAAGAAAGCAGAAGAATGGTTATGACATTCAAGTTGTGAAGTATTGCCTGAGGAGAGACGTAAAGCATAACCATTAAAGAAAAGGGGGGCAACGAAGATTAGAATGAGAAACTTTTTATTTTCTTTTGTTTTGTTTGAGACAGGGTCTGCCTATGTAGTGCAGGCTAGCCTCGAACTCAGGGCAATCCTCCTGCCTCAGGCTCCTGAGTGCCGGGATTACAGGCATGTGCTGCCATGCCAAAAATTTGATTTTGAAAAAAGGTAGCAGAAGTAGACAGAAAGACAAGCTGAAGACCAGGGGAACTGTCTGGAAGTTGCTTACCAAACAAAGGATTTGTATTCAGTGTATACACAAACTACAATTGAAGGAGAAAAAGATGGACAGCAACAGGAAGTGTTCGAGGGCCCTGACAGACACCCCTGGGGGCGGAGTCCCCACAGCAGCTGCCCCTGCCCGCCGGGCTGCGTTAGCCCTGCACTCCGCACTCCTGTCCACTCCCCCCTCCTCGTGCCCACCTCGCTGCCCCTGCTCAGTGTGGGGTAGCGTGGCGGGGTCCTCGGCCTCCATCCTCACCTGCGCCCCCTTAAAGTCCATGTGTCTTACCCTCCTCACCTCCCTCTGCAACAGCATGCGTGGTGTCCCCAGCCTCCCACCCCTGTCCTAGGCCCCAGTATGTGCTGTAACAACCCCGTGGGGCCGGTGAGTGGGACAGTGGGACACGAACTCAACAGTCCATGCAGGTTCAGCCCCAGGGATGAACAAAGGGTCTCTTACAAGCAGAGGGGTTTTTAATGGCCTTCTGTGTTAGGCTTTGGAGGGGCTGGGTTGGAGAAACGCTGGCCTGTGGGCAGCTGCTGTGTCCTTTGTGTCTGCTGTGGCCTGCCGACACGTCCTCAGGGGACTGGCCTCAGCCTGCCCCGTCCTCTGTGACCTAGGTTAAATGCAACCCGTGTCACTCACAGTGGCAGTGGGCTCATCTGCACTGGCAGCATCCTGTCCAGGTCCTGTTGCCAGGTGTGCTGCAGGACCCGGTGTGTTCATAGCTGGGTGGTCCAGGATGCCTCCAGGACCCACAGGCTGCTGAGCCATACCCTATGCATGGTGGAATCCTTCAAACACAAGGAAGAGATTTCCGAAACATTCCATGCTCACGACCCAGTGGAAAACACACAGCTCCCCTTTACCCTCAGGCTGAGTCCCTCTCAAAGCTTGGCCTTGCTGCCTCATAATGTCATGGGAAGTATGAAATATGAAATATTACATCTCCCAACCTATTAACTGTATGATACACCGAGTTCTTGTTCTCTAGAAATTGATGAATGAGTTCTAGGAACGACGGAGGTTAAGGATAGGAAGATATTCATTGATAGGAAGGCTCCTGAGGGGCAGGAGTGGGCAGCCGGGGACCCCACTTTACAGAGGAGTTTTATAGGGTGAAACCCACATGGGTACAACGTGGGCCAAAGCCATGATCATCCAATAAGGTTACAAGTGCAGTCACTTAGGTAACGGTGGTCCAATTGGGAAGCGAGTCAGGCAACAAGCGCGGATGGAAAGAACAAGGATCCTCCTAGGGGTAGTGGGTCCAGAGCTCTCTGGTCACCCCCAGGGTGGTCGATGCCTATCTAGACTTCACTAAGCCCAGTTCTTTGAAGACGTATGTGGGTCTGGTCATCTTGTCTCCATCTTGAGGCCTGGTTTTCAGCTGATGTGCAGCTATGCTGTGTTTCACCTTGTCCTGGCCCTCCCGAGGACTCAGCCCTATCCGACTGCCTGTAGTATGTCTACCTAGCTCATCTATCTATAGCAGTACTTCCTGACCTGGGTCTCAGTCTGTTTCCACTGGGTCCGACGCCTGGTGTGGACAGCCCGGCCTCAGAGAACCAGCCCGGGCTTTGCTTCCTGCCCTCCCCCGGACTTCAGGAGCATCTCAGAGTCCGTCGCCTCTGCCAACTCCGAGCTAGCTGGCCCACCATCCGCTTCACACCTGAAGGAGCCTGCAGGCTGACTCCGCCGCTTTCGCATGCTCCGTTACCCTGGGCTCTTCGACAGGCCAGCTCTCAGGGCCAACCTGGGCTCCGACTCCGAGAGCCGGGCCTAGACCCTTGGCGGCCTCTGCTCTTCCTGGGCCAGGTCAGGTGACCAGGAGGGCAGGCTCTGCTCAGGCTGCCGGGCAGCCGTGGGAGGCCTTTCCCACTGTTTCTGGGGGACAAATCCAGCCCCAGGGGACTTCGCTGTGGCCACTCTCAGCTGGTGGGAGGATGGGGACTCAGTGCTGGCCGCATCCTCTGGAACAGGGTGGGCGTCCCCCGAAACCGCATCCACTTACAGAGAGGCACAGCAAATGACGAATGCTGCTAAACTTAAGGTTTGTATTTTCCCACCCCAGATAAGAGTTCTTCTACCGAGTTCTAAAAGAAGTTTGGACAACGTGGCCACAGTATTCGGTGAGAACCCCTGGTGCCCAACATCCGGGCCATGGGGAGGCTGCGCCGTGTCGGGTACGTCCCAAATAACCTGGGTGGCGGGTGGCGGAGCGGGTTTGGTGGGAGCCCCTGTTCCGGTTGCTGTTTGGATCTGTGCTGTTTCCTTAAGTCCTCCGTGTGATGGAGACTGGATCCTGGGCACTGTACCCGACAGCGGATCCATCCTCAGAGGGCTTGGGCTGCAAGGTCGTCCCGCCCGGCGCCTCAGCCTCCTGCGTGGCTGTGCCGGGCTCCAGACTCCAAGATCCAAAGGCGGAGCTGGGCTCCTCGAGCGGCACCTCCACTGTCTCTGGGACATTCTCCTGCCTGTCACCTGCCCCACGCATGCAGCTCTGCGGATGACCCCGCGTCTGTGCCGCACGCTCCTTCCTCCCGCTGTAGCTCTGTTGGCGGTGGAGGCAGGGGACCTCGAGTCCTGGCAAACATCCACCTCCTTCCTGCCCTCCACCTCCTTCCGACCCATGTGCTCCCCTTCACAGCACCCCCCAGGCCTTTGCACCAGGAAAATCTAACAACAGCCCCAGTGCGGAAACTTCCAGGGTCTTCACACTGAATTTAGGGCAGGATCGACAGCACAGAGCGCTGCTGGGGCCTGAAGGTGCACATGCACGTGTGTAGACACATGTGTGCACACTGTGCATACCCTGTGGGTGTCTCTGGAGGACCCTGCTCACAGGCTCTGGAGCTGGTTTCTTCAAAGCTCGTCTCGCCAAACAACAGCGAGCTTTGGATGCTGCTGTCCTTCAGGCTTGATTCTGTTTTCTATCTTAGGGCGTGAGGGGCGCGGGGTGGAGCTCAGGGGTTCTCTGCCCCTGGGCTGCACCCCAGCCCTAGATCTGGTTTTCCTTGCCTCGCCATGTGTTTAGGAAAACCCCACACTGCCACAGTGTCATGCTTACATATGCTGATTTTATTTGGTGCCCCCCCAGCTGGCGAGGGCCCGGGTATGCGAGATGCCCAGGGACACCCTCTGTCCATCTCCCGGGTGCTCAGGGCAGGCTTCTGCGGCCCCTGTGCAGGTACCTGGCCCTCAGCATGCTTGAGTGCAGCTGGCGCTTCTTTTTGAGGTTCTCTCCTGTTTGGAAAGAGGTTTTCTTGAGGGACAGTAGGGGTTCTGTGGATGGACAGCTGGTGCCTCAAACCCCCAGCTCTGCTCTGGGTGTGAAGTAGGGCGGAAGAAATAAAGACAGGTTGGCCGGGCATGGTGGCCCATGCCTGTGATCCCCCTATGTGGGAGGGAGAGGCATGATGACTGCTGTGAGTCTGAGGGCAGCCTGGGCTACTGAGAGAGACGCTGTCTTCAAAAACAAAGTAGAAAGGAGATGATGAAAATCATAATTTTGTTTTTGAGACAGGGTCTTGCTCTGTAGCCTAGGCTGGCCTCAAACTTACAGTGATTCTCCTGCCTCAGCCTCCTGAGTGCTCTGTGTCACCATGTCCAGCTCTGAAAATCATAATTTTAAAAATGAAAACCGCAGCTTCAGGACACAAGTCCAGTTTAAAAATTTTTTTCTTGGGCTGGGGATTTAGCTCAGTGGTTTCACTGCCTGCTGCACAAGTGCAAGGACCAGAGTTCGATCCCCGGTACCAAAAAAAACGCAAAAAGCAAACATTTTTTTCTTTCTCACTTCTCTCTGAACAATCAGCCTGGGTCCGTCCCTTTCTCCTGCGGATGAATTCAGCTGTTCCCTTCATCCTCGCTAAGCGGCCTCGTTCTCCTGTGAACTGGGATCCTCTGCCAGTGCATCGCCTTCCCGCAGACGGGCGTCCTCCTGCGCCCAAGCCGGGACTAAGTCCCAGACGCAGACTGACAAATTCCAGATTCACACCCCAAACGCCCAGACATTCCCAGCTCCAAACTGCAGTGTGCCTGTCTATCTCTCGAGGGCGCGAACTCTCTTTCTTTGAGTGCACATTTTTGAAAATTCCCTCTAATAAATCCCTTTTCTATCTCTTACTGACCCATCCTGAAAATCCTCACTCAGGGACCGGAGCCTGCGGTCCTGCATCCAGTCCACGGTCAGGGCGAGGGCAGGCGCCTCACCTGGGCTCCCACGCCGTCCGCGGCAGGGGGCGCTCATGGCAGCGGCGGCCTGGAGACCGGGTCCCCTGGGCCTCTGCACCCCGCCCCCTGCTGGCTCCCTGCACGCACCCCGCAAACATCCTCTCCCATCCCCTCACACCCGAGGAGGGGCTGTGCCCGCCCCACTCTGCTTGCCAAGGTCTCCCAAGGTCAAGGGGATTTGAACCCAGGCCAGACTGAGATGGGATGGAAGAAATAGGTAGAAAAGAGACAAGGTGAACCCTAATCTAGATTTACACTCTTTTTTCTTGTTGTTTTCTTTGAAGCAGGTCTCACTACATAGTCTGCACAGCCCGGGCAGGCCATGATCTTTGCGCGACCCTCCTGCCTCAGCCTGCCAAGTGGGCATGTGCCACCACGCCCGGTTTAAAATTGTGCTTTTAAGAAAGCAGAAGCTTTGGGAAACAATCAAAATTGCCCAAGTTTACTCTGTCTTTTCCCTTCCAGCGAACTAAAAAAAAGAATCCTGGCCTCTTCCAGATACAGTCAGCCTTTGAAACGCTCCGCGCCCCCTTTGACCCTAGAGTGAGCTTTCGTGGATTCATCTGCAGCCCGGAGCAGCTCGGTCCCCGGCCCCACACTCTTCCAGGGCCCGCTCTGCCTGATGATGCGGGGCGGCGCTCTGGACCTGGGACCTGCTATGGAGCCCATTCCTGCGGTGCCAGCCTCCAGGGCCGAGGTCCCTCGGGTTTCCCTGTCCGAGCACTGCTGTCCTCCCGCCAGCCTCCCCGAATCGCAGGCACGGCTGTGCCTGTGACGGCTGGGTCTCGGACAGTGAGCGTCCTCGGGCTGACACTGGCCCAGGCCGGCACTGGCCCTGCAGTAGGGCTGGCCTTCCCATGCTTGAGGACAGCGGGTGGGACAGGGAGGTCTCTAGTGACGTGCTGTGGGGCTCTATCTCAGCCGGCATGGGACACAGGGCAGTCAGGACCCCGAGTGTGGGAACAGTGGGATGGTGGGCACACATGGCGTGTCCTCCAGTCGCCCTGTCCCTGAGGTCAGGCAGTTGGAATGATGCGCCTGGATATACACGCTCTGTCCCAGCTTGCAGCTGCACACCAGCGGCAGGTGGCTTGGCGGAAGCCTGTCTGCCACACCGAATCCCAAACAGGGTGGGCAGGCAGGTGTGTGGGGCTGAGCCTGGCCCTGAGCCATCGCTTGCCAGTGGCTGGCCATCCCGAGGCAGGAACTTGGAGCTGCAGCTGCGTGAGGGACCTGCTTGGAGTAGGGCTGAGGGTGTCGGGGGAGTCCTCGGAGAAGCATGGCCAGTGGGAGCCGCAGGGGATGCATGGGCAGCTTCTCAGTGGGGGTGAGACAGTGCGTTTTGGGGAGAAACCGGGGGGTGGGCAGGGAGGTCTCCACATCAGTGGTGGGAGGCGGAGGAGACTCAGCCCCACGCGAGGGCCATGTCTGGTGGGAGGTCCGGGGGCCTCCTCACCTGGTCACGACAGTGCAGGCAGTGACCCTACATGGCTGAGCCTGTGGCTGGGGTGACTGCAGCCTCCCAGGTCCCAGCTCTTCCTGGGAAAGGGAAGCCGCCCCGTCAAGTGTGGCTGGGAAGGCAGAGCCCTAGGGTGACTTTCTGTGACCCTTGGATACCAGAAGCCAGGTGTCCCTGAGTGGATGGCCATGCCCAAAGGAAGACCCCTGTGGAGCACAGCTACTGCACTGGGGCTAAGCCCCGCCCTGCGGTCCCCCAGCCCAGAGGGGCTCCCACACTCGCCTATCACCTGGGGCCCTGGGCACCATCCCTTACTGAGCACTCTTTGAAGGCTGTCAGTGATTTTCTCCAGCGCCGAGAGGCTTTTAATCTGATAAAATGTTTCTTTCTCCTCTTCTGTGGGAAAAATCAAGGGCTACGATCAGCTCCAACCAACAATTTTGGCTCAGTTCTATTAAAGCTTGTGTCTACATGTCCCCCCCGTACCTCATGCACTTATAGGTGGGGCATTTTTTTTTGAGACAGGGTCTTGCTAGGTGGTTCAGGCTGACCTTGAACTCACTATGCAGCTGAGGCTGGCCTCAAATTTGCAGCAATCCTCCTGCCTCAGCCTCCCAAGTGCTGGGATCACAGGCATGCACCATCATGCCCAGCAGGTGGGGCTTTGTGGAAGTGGCTAGATTGTGGGCGTGTGGTACTGGATTAAGGGTGTGATAACTGGATTGATCCCTGATTGGTTTAGCATAGTTTTGGGTGTGGACTATGGAAAGGCTTGTAGTCTGGATGGGATAAAAAGGGAAAGGAAGACTTACTGCTTGCTGCCTCCTGGCTACCCTGCCATAGACTGTTTCTCCCCTGCCATGCCGCCCTCCCTTGGGATCAGCCCACTGTGGATTGAAACCTCTACAAACTGTGAACTAAAGTAAACCTTTCTTCCTTGAACTTGTAGGTGTCGGGTACATGTGTCCCTGGCAGCACACGCACCCTTCCTCGCCTCCGTCACCTGGGAGCCCAGCGCTTCTCCTTGCTGACGAGGCTCCCGACTCGGGTGGGTGGGGTGAAGGGGGCTCTGGTTCCTGCGGACTCTCCTGCTGCAGCAGAAGAAGGGGCCAGGCTGGGCAGCGCCTCCTCCCTGACACTGCTGCTGGCTCCCTGGGCTGGGCCTTAGGGGGTCAGGCCGGGGCAGGGCTGGGGCAGCTGGGGTTCGCCACACCTGGGAGACTGGGAAACTGGAGCAGCACCGGTGACCTCAGGACAGGAATTTCACCCTTCACCTGGAAGGACTTCCATCTGCATTTGCCTGTCCGTCTGTCTCCCATTATGTTCTCAACTCAGGCAGGGATTGTGGGGCGTGTTTACCTTCAGAGAAAAGTCTGTCTGTGTGCCCGGAAGAGAGCTGCTGCTTGAGTTCCTTAGGACCACTGTCATAAAGAAGGCGGACTTCTTTACGGTGAAGAACATGGAAAAAAGGTGGGGGGCGGTCATAATTACACACTGGTGAACAGTTTGAGCCCAAACTGTATTTTACAGTGTTCAGGTGAGATGATATAAAAGTTTTCATCTTCTCCAGCTTAATGTAGTGGCAGACATCTGCAATCCCAGCACTCAGGAGGCTGAGGCAGGAGGATCACTGTGAGTTCCAGGGCTACAGTGAGTTCGAGGCCAGCCTGCACTACGTAGTGAGACCCTGTCTCAAAAAACAAAACAAAACAAAAAAACCCCAAACGAACAAAAATCGCTTTCAAATTCTATTTGAAAATATGTGTTGGAAGATAACGTTTAAGCTGAGTCAGGGTCGTCCCGCTACTGCCCGTGGTCTGGGACTGGGCAGACATCCGTGAACTACTCCGAATCTGTGGACTTTACATGTGGGTGCAAAATTCCCACAGAGCACCCTGCCTGCCTGTGACTGAGCAGGCCTGTGGCGCCTGTCTCTGCCCCCGGTGACTGTCACCCTGTGCAGCTCTGTTCCCCACACAGGCCTGGCCAGCTGAGCCACTCCGGGTGCCCCACATGGGCCTTGGAGGCACAGGCCCTGGGTGAGCTGGCCGCTCGGAGGGCAGCGCACTCACGCTCAGGTTGTGGTTTCTGCACTCCCGTCCTGGGTGGCCAAGGGCGGCTCCCGGTGGGGATGAAGCTGCGACGCCGCCGGTCACCTGGGTCTCCCTTCCTCAGCCCCGGAGACCAGAGCCGGGCTGGGGCAGCTTCATCACCCTGTCCCCCTCGGCTTTGGCCAGGTGCAGGGGCCGTCAAGACGCCCAGGTCATCGGTCCATGTTCAGTACCCCGGGTCTCCAGGGACACAGGCGACTACGGGGAGAAGAACCGGATACTGGCTTTTTCTCTTTGTTCTTCTGGTTGGGGACGTTGCTACTGGTCTTAAAGTCTCCAGGAATGTTAATTTTTTGGGATCCAGAATCTCTCGGACTAGAATCTCATCTTGGGAGAAACACACGAGGACACCTGAGAGCCCACAGGCTGTGCGGGCTGATGTCCCATGTGCCAGGCCTGCCAGGGTGACAGCATCTGCCCCCTGGGGAGCCCAGCCCGTGTCCCTGCAGCCTCCCGGGTGCCCTGGACAGCTGGGCTGAGACCCAGGAGGCCGGGGCTCAGCTGACTGACAGGCAGGCTGGGGCGGCCCTAGCGGGGTGTTGGAACCCGGCGCCTGGTGCTTCCGTGGATGCCTCGTCCCCTTCTTGCTGTGGGGAGCTGGCTGCCAGGCACTCAGCTCTAACGTTCTCAGGGCCCTCATCTGTCTGAACTGTGGCACTAAAGCCACAGGCCAGGGGACTGTGATTCCCGCCCATCTCCGCTGTCCCTGTCCCTGAGACCCAGCATCTGACAGCTACAGCTTCCAGGAGCAGAGCTCAACTTTGGCTCACGGTTTCTGTCCTGCTGGGCCGGCCCCAGGGCAGGAACAGCAGGCAGAGGGTGTGGGGAGGAGAAGCCACTCAGCCCACGGCAGAGAGGAGGCGGGCGGCCAGATGCCGCAAGCCTGCAGGTTCTCCCCCCGGGGACCCCTCCAGCCAAGTGCAGGCAGCCCAAAGCCTCTGAGGATGGATCCGCTGTCGGGCACAGTGCCCAGGATCCAGTCTCCATCACACGGAGGACTTAGGGGAACAGCGCAGATCCAAACAGCAATTGGAACAGGGCCTCCCACCAAACCCACTCCACCACCCGCCACCCAGGTTATTTGGGACGTACCCGACACGGCGCAGCCTCCCCATGGCCTGAATGTTTGGCACCAGGGGTTCTCACCGAATACTGTGGCCACGTTGTCCAAACTTCTTTTTTTTTTTTCCATTTTAATGTTCTTACAATTTAATAAATAATTCTCTTGATGACTGCAGTTACAAAAGCTGTGGTAGTATTCACAATAATGGTGGTTTTCCTCATTGGTCTATAGTCTTCAATAAGTGTAAGAAGGTATTGTATGAAACTTCTCTCAAACCAGTCAGACTGCACCGATGCATCCATCATTCTCAGGATTGCTGGTTACCTGGGCATATTTACCCCAGATCACCTTGCCTCCTGTGTCACAAGGCCCAACTCACTCACGTTCACTTCAATCACTGTACCTTTGGTAATCACACCCAAAGTTGTGTATAGTGGTGACGAAGGATTTTTTTTCACACCAAGTATTGGCAGGCAAAAGGTGGCTTTCAGTTCAGGATGTGTTACATGGGCCTTCTTGAAACGTAAGCCCATTGGGCTAATGAACCTTTCGTATTTTGGTGGTTTTCTTGTAAATCCATCTCCAACAAAGCAGACTTTAGTAACCATCCTCTTCCATGCCTTCTTTTTTCTCTTTCCAGTTCGAATAACTTTCAATACTTCTGTCTCTCCCTGTGCACGATCTTTGGGGAGAGGGACTTCCCATTTTCCCGCCTTTTCTTTTCTTTTTTGTTTAATCATATTGGAAAGTACTTTTGCCCGAGACTGTCCCTCTCTGTCTAGCAGAGATAGGCAGGAACTGCTCCCTGAGGAGTCTTTTCATCATTCTTTTGTTTGGTGTTTCTCTTTTCATTCATCTTGATAGTCTTCTTCATTTGTATTTTCTCGAATGGCGCTGTTTATGGTAGAGCTTAGCCTTCAGGCCAATCATTTTTTTTGCCTTCTTTGAACGTTCATGAGCCTCTTGACTTTCCTTCTTTCTCTTTTTCTCATGGTAATCCAAATGATACCCTTAACGTTTATGGTGTAATTCAGTATATTCATTTTGTGGCATGGTGACAGCTGCAGAACCGCCCGGGGTTGGCCTCAGGCACTAGAAGAAAAGTTTCAACTTTGGACACATGACCTGACTCCGCGCAGCCGGAAACAGAAAAGCGTCCAAACTTCTTTTAGAACTCGGTAGAAGAACTTTTTATCTGGGGTGGGAAAATACAAACCTTAAGTTTAGCAGCATTCGTCATTTGCTGTGCCTCTCTGTAAGTGGATGCGGTTTCGGGGGACGCCCACCCTGTTCCAGAGGATGCGGCCAGCACTGAGTCCCCATCCTCCCACCAGCTGAGAGTGGCCACAGCAAAGTCCCCTGGGGCTGGATTTGTCCCCCAGAAACAGTGGGAAAGGCCTCCCACGGCTGCCGGGCAGCCTGAGCAGAGCCTGCCCTCCTGGTCATCCCTGTGCTTGCTAAGTTTGTGTCCCACGGCCTCAGGGTTCATTTAGAGGTTTGGGGGAGAGCAAAGGGGCACACACACTTCCTTTTGTAAATAGCAACATGTTGACCGCTCTGATGGTGACGGTCATTCACAGGAGGCCCCAAGGCTGGGAAGGCGCCAGGGCCTGGTTCTTAACAGACAGCCCAGAGGAGCTCAGTGTAATTATTGCAGACAGGTAAATTAATTAGATATCTTCTAGGCAGTTACACAGCACCAGCCCTTGAGAAGCCAACATGGAGGAAAGGCCAGCATTGTAAAAGAGAAACTACTACATCCACATGCTTCCCCTAGGGATAAACAGCAGTGACTAATATTCTAAATAGGTATCAACCACCTGGTGGTCAACCATTAACCCATTCCTTCCAGGAAAGATCCCTGACTCACCCTTTGCCTAAAAATCCTTGCTCATCCCTTGTATGTGATGTGACTTGATTCCCCATTGGATCCCCATTTAATCAATATTACCTAAATGAGGGTCCAGGATTTAGCTCAGTGGCACCAAGCCTGCCTTCCAAGCTCAAGGGCCTGAGTTCCATCCCCAGTACCAAAAAAAAAATTACCTAAGTGACTATACTTGTAGTCTTACTAGTTGGCTATAGTTTTGTCCCATCTTGAACGGGTCTCACCTCATGGCTTTGTCCCATAAAACACCCTTGTGAAACAGGGTGGGTGGGCAACCCACTTTCTGGTCCCCCTTGTGTCTCTATTAGACAGAAACTATCTTTCTCTTGATAAATGTTTTCTACTATTAACCTGTCGTTCCTAGAATTCATTCTTTGATTTTAGAGACCACGAAGTCGCGTTTCGGCTATCTAGCAGGTTTGGGAGTTAGAACTCTCCCCCCATATCAGTTCTCTGTGGGGGACACGAGGACCCAGGGGCGGGTCCCCCGGGTCTCCTCGGTCAGGAGCACAGAGCTTCAGGGAGACCCCGCCTGCGGGTAAAGAGCGGAGTCTCGGGGACTGAGGTCCAGACGTGGCGTCCACAGGCCTAGGGCCGTCGGATCTGTGGCCTCGGTGGCCTTGGGGACAGGAACGGCCACGCTCAGCGGCCAGGAGGCAGTGGCAGTTGGGTTCTGAGAGCCACGTCCTCCTCCAGACACCAAAGCTTCCCCCTCAGCGGCTGTGGGGCCTCAGGTTCTCTCTGGAGGAGACATTAATGGATCATTAAGAACGGGTACAGCTGCGCCGCGCCAGCACTTTGTTAAAAATATTCTTTTCATCCGCTCGGAGACGCGTGATCACAGCGGAGGCGCCGGGAGTCAGCCGTGAGCCGCGCACAGAGCGCTCGGTCCCGCCCCGCGCGGCTGCGAGCCTTGCTGCGGGGCCACTGCCTCCCCGCGGCGTCCTCCCCGCCAGGGCCACAGCTTCGGACGG